TGTAATCCCAGCTACTTGGGAAGCTGAGGCAGGAGAATCACTTGAACCCGCGAGGTGGAGGCTGCAGTGAGCTGAGATCACGCCACTGCACTCCGGCCTGGGCAACGGACTCCGTCTCAAAAAAAAATAAAAAATAAAAGGGCCGGGCACGGTGGCTCAAGCCTGTAATCCCAGCACTTTGGGAGGCCGAGGCGGGTGGATCACGAGGTCAAGAGATCGAGACCATCCTGGTCAACATGGTGAAACCCCGTCTCCACTAAAAATACAAAAAATTAGCTGGGCATGGTGGCACGTGCCTGTAATCCCAGCTACTCAGGAGGCTGAGGCAGGAGAATTGCCTGAACCCAGGAGGCGGAGGTTGCGGTGAGCCGAGATCGTGCCATTGCACTCCAGCCTGGGTAACAAGAGCGAAACTCCGTCTCAAAAAATAAAATAAAATAAAATAAAATAAAATAAAATAAAATAAAAAATAAAAAAATAAAAGAGAATGAAGAATGGTCTCCAAGATCAATTTTTTTAAATAATAAAAGATACAATACTGCAGGCAGAGGATGGTACCCTTTTTGTAAAAACTGAAGAAAAGAATCCATATTTGATTCCTTTATCGCATTTGTCCAGATAACAAATGAGAGAAAACCACCGTGGAAGGACAGGGACCTCTGGTTCAGGAGAGGCGGGCTTTTCCCTGTGCACCTTTCTGTACCTTCTGAAATGTGAATTATCTGAATGCATCACATATTCAGGTGTGACAATTAGAATTTCAGGAAATAACAGTGTGTGGTGTCTTGCATTCCTGCAGAGTGTGGGCTCCCCCAGGGCCGGCCCTGGTCTCAGGCAGCCATGATTGTTGGGAAACACTTGGGAAATACTTGGAGGGTGAAGGAGAGCTCTGTGTTCCACATTAGCAGGACAGAGACGCAGGCAGGGCGGAGAGCAAGGAGCGGGAGAGCGGGCAGGAGGGGCGAGGCTGGGTCTGTGCTGCGGACATAGGCTGCTGGGGTCCCTCTACCTGGGGGGCCGGAGCCGGGGAAGCCTGGCCGTCGGGAGCCTGATGGCCGAGGCCAGCTCCTTTGGCGACGGGGGTGGCCGGGGCTGGGTCTTGGGCGGGAGGCGGGGCGCTGACTATGACCGAGGCAGGCACGGAGAGGTGGGGGCCCTCTGCGGAGAGGGGCTGCTGGCTCCTCTCCTGCAACGGGCAGCCCGCACAGGGTCAGGAGGCTGCCCCTACCGGCCCTCAACCTCCCCACCCGAGACCCTTGCCCCTGCTGATGTTCCCAGGGCTCCAGAGGACGGGGTGGTGGGCAGCCAGGTGGGCGAGGTGCCAGGCACAGAGGCCATGGAGGCCGGAACCCAGGCCACCCACTCTGTTCTGAGCTCCCGTCGGCCCCTCTACAGCTCCACCTTGCCCTGCCTCTCTCCTGCCCCACCTGCCTGTCCGTCCGTCCCCAACTCGTTCACTTCCTCTCTGAGATCCCTCTCCTTGCCTGTCAGCAGGCCAGCCAGTGCCTGTCCTCTGTCCATCCGTCCCTGGTCCCTCCCCCTGTCTGTCTGTCTGCCGGTCCCTCCAGCTGACTAATGAGTTGTCCTGCCCCTCGTCTGTCAGTCAGCCAGCCTGTCAATCCATCTTCCTGCCAGTTCCGCCAGGGCCCTCGGCCATCTGGCCTCCTCTTAGCCGCCACCTGTGCCATGACTGAGACCCTCCCCCTTGGCTGCCACAGTGCCATCCACTTTTGGATCTTGGCCCCTCGCCCCAGGGCCCTTCCTCCTCCCAAGCCCGCGGCCTCCTCTGGTGCTTGCTCCCCTGCCCCGCCCTGCTTACCTGGGGCAGGAACATCTGCAGGGAGTCCTGAGTGAGGATGGCCGTGGGGGCGGCAGAGGGCGGCTGCCCCAGGACGATCTTCTCCGGGCTAGATGCCAGGCCGGGGCTGGGCTGGGGGGTGGTGGCCTGAGGCGGGGCGGCGGCCTGTGGGGTGGGGGCCTGCGGGGGCTGCTGCGCCTGCGGCTGCTGGAGACCCAGGGGCAGGGGTGTGCTGACCGCGGGGGGCGCCTGGGGGGCAGGCTGCACGGTGAGGACCGACGCGGCCTCCCCGGTGGCGGCGGCAGGGGTGGTCGGCTGCACCAGGCCGTCAGGGGTGTTGAGCATGGCCACGGCGCTGGGGGGCAGGGTGACCCCCTGGAGGACTGTGGTGGCGGCTGGCCCAGCGGGAGCTGGCTGGCTCTGCGTGGGCAAGCTGCCCGCGGCCAGCGACACAGGCATCTGGAAGAGCGCGGGCTGGCCCACCTGGATGGGGGCTGCAGAGAGGATGTGTGCGCTGTGAGCCCCGGAGTGGGGGGCCAACACGGGGCCCAGGCTCAGCGGGCCCGCCAGGTTCTGGTTGGTGAGGATGGGGTTCGCGATGAGCTGTCCTCCTGTGTGGGGGGCAGCGGCCGCCAGGATCTGCCCGCCCACGTTGGCCGGCAGGGCTGAGAGCGACTGCGGTAGCTGGACCGCGGGTGCGCCGGGCAGCAGGAACTGGTTCTGGCCCGGCAGCATGTGCTGGGCGGGGATGACGATGCTGCTGCCTTGGTTCAGGAGGTGGACGCTCATGGGCTTGCTCAGGGCCCCGGGGGGCTGCGGCGGGGCCGCGCCAGTGGTGGTGGCCGGCGGCTGCTTGAAGACGTTCGCCTGCAGCGCGGGCGCCGGGAAGCCCGACAGCACCACGTTCTGGCCCGCCTTCCCGGCCGCCATGAACGTCAGGTTCTGCGGAGCCTTGGGCTGCTGCGGGAGCGCCCCCGGCTCGCCCTGGATGGTGAGCGTGGCGCCCGCGGGCGCGAATGGCTTGGGCGTCAGCTGGTAGAGCTTGGGGGGTAGCACCCCCGCGGGCTTGGGCTGGATGGGCGTGGGCGTGCGATGCAGGATCACGTTGGGCGCCGGGACCAGTGGCGAGGAACCCAGGCCCGGGGCCACCGCCAGTGGCTGTCCCGAGGGAGCCCCACTGGACGCCGAGGCGGCCCCTGTGCCTCCGAACACAGAGTTCCCGTTGAGCGTGGTGGCCACGGCGGCCGGGAGGTTCTTCTGGATGACCAGGCCAGCCCCCTGCGGTGAGACGCCAGCCGACGCTAGGGTCACGGGCTCCGAGGGGCCGGCTGCCGAGGCCAGGTAGCCGCTGACGGGCACCTGCTTGGCCAGGAGCTGGGAGGTGGGCGTGTTCAGCGCCATGACGGGCTGGCCCACCACCTGGATGGGCGCCAGGCCCAGCGTGGCCGCCGTGGCGCCCCCAGGGCTGCCATTGGGCAGGCCCTGGAGGCCTGGGATGGGCTGCAGGGTCACGTTGCCCAGGCCCACAGGCTGCAGGAAGGGCTGGACGCTCAGGGCCTTGTTGACCACGTCCTGTGGCGGCACCAGGGCCTGGTGGGTCAGCACAGTGGGCGGGGCCTGCAGCCCCAGGAGGTCGGTGCTGCCCGGGAAGAGGGCCTGGGGCCCCGCAGCCACAGCTGCTGCCGCTCCAGCGCCTGTTGGGCCTGCCCCGCCATCCGCAGGCTGCAGGGTGGGCAGCTGGAAGGGACCCAGGTCCAGCTCGGCCTCGGCCTCCAGCGTCTGCTCCGTGATGTTGGCCTCTTGGAGGCTCTGCTGGAGGATGTCACAGGGCTGGTCAGCGCCTCCACCGCCCCCGCCGCCGCCCCCAGTCGCAGGAGAGCCCAGGATGTCATCTTCCAGGAAGTCTAGGTCCACACTGGGGGCCGGCTGGTTGGGCTCTGGGTTCAAGTGGTTGCCAGAAGCTTCTTGCACATGGAGCTGGAGGCCATGAAAGGTGGGAAGGAAAGAGCTGAGGTTAGCAAGGGGCTAGGCTCAGGCCACCGCTGCGGCAAAGAATGCTCAGGTGACAGGGCAGCCATGTTCAAGAAAGAACATTCTACCTGGCAGGGTGGCTAGCGCTTGTAATCTCAGCACTTTGGGAAACTGAGGTAGGAAGATGGCTTGAGCCCAGGAGTTCGAGACCAGCCTGGGCAACACAGTGAGTCCCTGTCTCCATAAAAAAATTTTAAAAAAGAAAAATTAGCCAGGCGTGGTAGCATGTGCCTGCGGTCCTAGCTACTTGGGAGGCTGAGGTGGAAGGATCACTTGAGCCCAGGAGTTTGAGGTTGCATAGTGGAGCTAGGAGCGTACCATGACCCTCCAGCCTGGGCCACAGGGCAAGACTCTTGTCAAAAAAAAAAAAAAAAAAAAAGAAAAGAAGGGGAGGAGAGGGAAAAAAGAACATTCCATCTGCAAGTGACTGGACACGGGATCAAATCCCGGCTCTGCCAAGGCCTAGCTGTGTAACGCAGGGCTTGATCTGACCTCAGTTTCTCCATCTGTACCCATCAGTGAAACGTAATTTATAAAACTATTGTTGGCCAGGTACAGTGACTCACACCTGTAATCTTAGCACTCTGGGAACCTGAGGTGAGAGAATTGCTTAAGCCCAGGAGTTTGAGGCTAAGTGAGCTATGTTTATGCCATTGCACTCCAGCCTAAGTGACAAGAGTAAAGACCCTGTCTCAAAAACCAAAAATAAAGTCCAGGCACGGTGACTCATGCCTGTAATTCCAGCACTTTGGGAGGCTGAGGCAGGTGGATCACTTGAGGCCAGGAGTTTGAGACCAGCCTGGCCAACATGGTGAAACCCCGTTTCTACTAAAAACACAAAAACTAGCTGGGCGTGGTGGCTCACACCTGCAGCCCCAGCTACTTGGGAGGCTGAGGCAGGAGAATGGCTTGAACCAGGGAGGTGGAGGCTGTAATGAGCTGAGATCCTGCCACTGCACTCCAGCCTGGGCGACAGAGCGAGACTCCATCTCGAAAAAACAAAACAGAAATAAATAAAAACAAGCAACTACTGTTTAAATGGTCATACGGGCCTACAACACTTACCTGTCATTACAAAACCTGAAAAGCTCTAAGAACTGAGACTGTTTTCATAGCTCTTTTGGCAGCAAAACCTAACCAGAGCCAACATGGCACTTTAGGTGGGATCCATCTACCCACACGATGTGGCTTTGTAAGTCTGGCCACCGAGAGGCAAGCGTGTGACATTACACACACAACACACCTGGTACCACTTTTCCAGAATTTGAGAAATTCGAAATTCCGAAATACGCTTGGCCCTAAAGGTTTCCGACAAGCGGTCGTAGGTCTGGTGGAGTCAAGCTCACGTCAGCAGTGAGTGGCTCCCATTTGTGAGCTTTCATGCCAACCGCACCGTGAGCTCAATGCTTTTTAAGTGCTTTTCATGCTAGCCTGAACTGCAACCCAGCACACGCATGGAAAAATGTCCGCTTGCATATGTGTGGAAAGCCCCACAAGCAATACTTATGATACGGCAGTTTGCTTGTTTTGTGACGGAGTTGCGTTCTGTCGCCCAGGCTGGCGTGCAATGGTGTGATCTCCGCTCACCGCAATCTCTGCCTCCCAGGTCCAAGCGATTCTCCTGCCTCAGCCTCCCAAGTAGCTGGGACTACAGGTATGTGCCACCACGTCCGGCTAATTTTTTGTATTTTTAGTAGAGACGGGGTTTCACCATGTTGGCCAGGCTGGTCTTGAACTCCTGACCTCATGATCTGCCCACCTCGGCCTCCAAAAGTGCTGGGATTATAGGCGTGAGCCACCGCGCCTGGCGATACGGCAGTTCATCTCCACCAGTACCTGCCCAGATAACCCATCAAAACCTGCAGCTTCCAAGATTCTCAGTAAATCCACATGGAGGCCTCACAGTAGCACTTGCCACGAGAATCATCATCTATCATCAGCACTGTCATTACTACCGTCCATGCTGTCGTTTTTGGTGACAGTCCCATGAGGCAGGTGCTGGTCCCTTCCTCATGCCACAGGTGAGGGTACTGCCTGGGTCAACCAGCGGTGGGTGGAGGGAGTGGCAGGCAGATGGGGCTCTCGCTCAGCCTCCAACCGACTGAGGACCAGGCAGGCCACTGTGACCCCCTCTTATGTGCCAGACGGCCACAGCCAACCTGCCCCCTGGGATGTGCCTATGAAAATTCACTGACGTCGCCTTCAGAGAGTGTTTAGAACCTGACCACGGACCTCAGGGTATGTGAAAATGATGGTAACGTTAAGAAGTGTGATCACAAAATAGTAACAGGATCACCGCTGTTACTGAGCCTGCAGATGCATCAGTTATATAAATTATTGCATTTCCTCGCCATTTGTATCATGAAAGGTAAGCTATGTGGAAGATGATATAGTTGTAAGAACTAAATGAAGATGACCATGAAGGCCTGTCATGCGATATGTGTTTGGTGAGTGAGCGTGATGATGATGGAGGAGGAAGGTGGGGAGGATGAGGAGGGGAAGGAGGAAGTCAAGGCAGGGAGAGGGGAGGCTGAAGGAAAAGGAGGGGGAGGAAAAGGTAAGTGGGGGAAGTCAGCAGCAGAAGAGGGAGAAAGGGGAAGGGGTGGCCACTATGGTGTGGACAACTGGCACTTTGTCATGGGACCGGCACAGTCAGGCACACAGTAGGTGCTCAGAAAATGTCCTCTGCCTTGCCCGCTCTGGGCTTTGCTCAGCACCTGTCTTGACTGTCCAGGTGAAGACTAAAGTCTGTAGGTGACGAGGCCCCTCCCCTAGGTCACACCCTGCCATGGCTGAGGTGGGCAGGACCCCAGGCTCCTCCAGCCCCTGTTCTCCAGAGCAGTGCCCCTGTTAGCCCTGCAACCCACATCTGCTTCAGCTCCCCAAAACCACTCTGCACCAGCTGCTCCAGGGCTCCAAGGCCTCGGGGACCCCCACCTCTTCCCCGAGGGGCCTGCAAGGCGAGGTGGGCTTTGCCCGTGTTGGCCACATCCAGGGTCCCCCAGCTCTGCTCCGTTCTGCACTGCCAGGGTGGTCCAGCCACCCTCGGTGGCCCACCCCCTGCCCTCCTCCCATCAACAGCCCTCAGGAGATGAGCCCAAGCCGCCCTTCTTGCCTGCAGGGCCTCCCTCCCACTGGCGGCCCGGGGAGCTCAGGTGATGACTGGGAGCCACGGCACTTACCCCAGGACCTTCATAGAAGGCACTTTGGGCCTCCCCAGGATTATCCAGGAGGTCATCACTGTCGAGCTGCAACAAGACCCACCCCATCCAAGGTCAA